CTGATGCTGGTGTGCAGATCACTACGAGAGGAGGGGGCAGGCTAGTAGAGATTCTGAGAAAATGAATACCAGAAAAGCAAAAATATTTTTGTCAACAGTGCTGACCCGTAGCCATGGATGGGGGGGAGAAGCGAGGTTAATTGCTGTGGACCAATGGGCTTCCAAGAGGATAATCCGCAGAAATCTACCCGAGAGAGAGAGATGAGAGAAAGAGAGCTAGACACAAAGCTCCTGACGTTCCATACGGGATTTAAATAAAATGTCTGTTTTAAATTTTAAATTTTATAAATTTTTAAATGGCCCTGAAGCTTATTCTTATCCGACCGAACCCTTAAAAATGCGGCAGCTCCTTTTGCTGCTGGTTTTCGCCAGCCTCGGGGTCGCCGTCAAAAATGTAGAATTTCAGAATTTTGCGATTTTCCTAAACGTCCCAAATTATTTCTGTCATTTATTTTCAGGGCAGGCTAGCAGAGGATCTTGAGGAAATAGCTTTTTTCAGGTGACATGCGATCAACGGGCCGAGCTCTACTGGCCAGGGAATGGCTGCTATCCGGGTCCCGAAGAGAATAGTCGACTCCCGAATTCGATCATGTTCAGGGAGCAGTTTGGGGAATATCACGTATATTACGGTAGCGAATTTAAGGTTTAAGAGGTACTTACTCATGCTCGTTTCCGTGTCTGCCCAACCCTCGGCCACCACGTCTGCAAAACGGCTGCCGATCAATTCCGTGTGCTACCTGCTGGCCGAGCATGACGTCGAACATCCATGTACCTGCACGTCCAAGAGCGCCCCGTCGATTATGAGTTAGCCTTTTTTTGTAAAAAAAATGAGCAAATGCGAGGGGGGTCTTTTTCGGAGGTAATCCGCAACTTTCCAGTGTCCGGAGGAGTACTACAAGTTGTGGCGGCCAGCTACAGCGGCGAATGCGGCAAGGAGCAGCATCGTTTGAGGGTGTCGGCTCGCTGGAGCTTCGTCGTCCAAAGGGTTAAAGCCCGTTTGCTGGGAGTACGGGGGTGGGTCAAGAGCATTTTACCCGCCCCCAGTTCCCAAATTTCGAGCCATACGTCCTATTAATGCGCTGAATATCCCCAAATGCGTCAAAATAGTCGAATTACTATAAAAAGGTTGATCCTGTGGGCAAAAATTGCTAGAAAAAATTTTTACAAGATTTTGGAAAGTTGAAAATATTAAGCCTCTATGCTTCGATGTACTAGGAGACTAAAACTCAAATATTCTTGTTTTCCGCTATTTTTTGACTGAAGCGTACTGTAGGCTTATTCTACAAAGCAAGAGCTACATTTGGTACCATTGACAGCTCTGTACGACTAAAGATAGCTGAGATACGAAAACTCACTTTGGAACAGCAAAAATTTACTAAAGAAAACTCAGTCTTATAATTGTTATCAAATTTTTTCTAACAATTTTTGATGTAAGGAAACAACTGTTTTATAGTAATTCGACCACGGGGCTTGACTTTGAGATACTGGTGCATTAATAGGACGTATGGCTGAAAAGTTACGGCTGGGGTAATCTAGAGTCTCAGCCCCGACGCCTTCAAGCGGTTCGGACCTGTATTATGCCTGATTTCCGGGGATGCCATCTTGAATAGTTTTCAGACGGTCTACTGCGACGTGACGGGCGGTCCCTATCATCCGGGATGGGGGGACGTGCAAGAAATCGATGACCAGACCGGCCCTCGACCAGATGACGAGCAATGAAGCGGATTGGGGCATCGCATTCCGTGAGGATATCACCCAGAAGGATGGCAGCATGGCCATCGTCACATATGGTCTGTTCACGCCCTGTCGTTAATCGCACCGTTTCAATCTTCAGTCTGCGAGCGAGACGCTGTCTTCTGCTCGGAGGGTGCCGACGGTACCTCACCTTGGACGGCGACCGCCCCAGGACCGCTCGGCGACAAAATGGGATGCTGGAAGAATGTGAAGAAGCCGACGCCGTACTCGTCCGGAATTTGTGGTAACAGCCAGCAGAGATCATTTGGGAACCATCTACCCTTCAAGAAAACCTGGACGACGCGGCGACGACAGGGCTCTGGCCGCAGTTGCTTACCCGGTACGAACCAGACTTCATTTTCATGCTTCTTTCCAAGGTCTCCCGAGACTTCAAGCGCCTCATCGATTCTCGCGACGGTCGCCTCGGCTATGGTGTAATCTCTTCCCCGCGTGGACCGAACGACTACAAGGAATTCCAGCCGTTTTACGCGGTTGGCTGGGCTTATGTAGCTGCGTAGGCTTGGCGTAGGCTTGGCTTGGGCTTGCTTAGGCTTGGCTTAGGCTTGGCTTAGGCTTGGCTTAGGCTTGGCTTGGACTTGGCTTAGGCTTGGCTTAGGCTTGGCTTAGGCTTGGCTTAGGCTTGGCTTAGGCTTGGCTTAGGCTTGGCTTAGCTTGGCGTAGGCTTGATGTAGCTTGGCTTAGGCTTGGCTTGGGCTTGGCTTAGGTCAGCTTAGGCTTGGCTTAGGCTTGGCTTAGGTTTACTGAGCTTGGCTTAGGCTTGGCTTAGGCTTGGCTTAGGCTTGGCTTGGCTTGGCTTGGCTTATTAGTTTGACTAGGAGCTTCATTTGGCTTGGCTTAGTTTAACTTAGGCTTGCTTAGCTTGGCTTAGGCTTGGCTTAGGCTTGGCTTAGGCTTGGCTTAGGCTTGGCTTGGGCTTGACTTGGGCTTGGCTTAGTCTTGAAGCAAACCTCCCGACTCAGGACATCGTCTGCAGTATCACAGCCCGCCCGTGGCACCCCGAGCATAAGTGCAGTGCGATGCAGTTTGAGCCCCGGCGGACGAACGATCAAATCGCCTTCTACGAGAATGTGCTCGACACCGATGGGTACGGCTGGACACGCATCGCCTACGGTCAGTCCCCCCCCCCGTTAGCAGCCCAGTACCCAGCCCACCCTCGCTATTTCAGCATGCGGCCCGCTGCATTCGTTCTGCGGCGGCCCGAAGACGCCGCCAGAAATTGAACCCGGCTGCTGGGCGGGGGTGGCGCGGCCGTACTCGTCGGCTGAATGCAGTAGGGTCATTTTGCAACTAGGCAAAGCTTAGGTTCAAGTTTTCTTTTCGTAAGAATTTTTAGCAAAATTCCCTACATATTTCAAGTGGAAAAACGCTTAGGAAAATTGTTCAAGGCCTAAATTCTGCTCGAAAAATCGAAATTTTGGCGCTTTTGCATTATCGGGGGACTTTTTTTCTTAGGACCTATTCTTAAAATCTAAATAATGGCAGTGTTTCTAAGCGTTTTTTTAGATATTTCTAAACGTGAAACCTTGAAAAATTTGCCTAAAAAACAACAAAAATATAGATTTTTCGACCAAAAAAATTTTAGGATAGTGTTTCTATTTGAAATACAGTTGTATATTACTAGAAACGCTATTAAAACCTTTCTATTCACTCCCCCCCCCGATAATGCAAAAGAACCGGGGAGTCTTGTCTTGCAGGTTACTACGGGATGATATCGTCTATGAAGGCCCCGATGAGCATCAGCCTGAAGATGTTGTTGGAGTATTACGACAAGGAGGTCAGTGATCTTGGAGTACTGGTTCGTTAGCGGGGGAGGGAGGTAGATTTTCCTTGTTCAAGACGCCTACTGGCTGCCAATTGGGAGTCCTACCTACTGCCCCCCCGCTAACGCACCAGAGCCGAGCTTAAGGAGGACGTCATGATCCTCTTTAGGGAAAGTTGGCCCTGGGTGAGCAGCGTGTCTTCACCAGGCCTGCGAATTTCACGTACCCGGTAGGCCGATTTGGTACTTGACTATTAGCGGGGAGGGCATGCCAGTTTTCCGCAGGAATCGCGTACGCTTTAGGAGATTTACATGACCTAGGTTAATTTTTGGCCAAAGATGGAAAATCAGCCGCTCTTTTGTGCAGGAGCTGTGGACGACGACCACGACGACAACTACGCCAACGACGACGACCCCCTCGACCCCCTCGACCCCTAGCTGGTCTCGTCCCGAGTACATCGGCCCGCCCACCTATCCGCCAGTCGTTTACCCCGTTCATGATGACTGCGACCATGTTGATGATGATGAGTCGGTTGAAATCTGTTCCGGACGAGTAAATTGTCCGTATTTTCCAGGAGTCCTGTCGGGACCCTGATCGCCATCTGCGTCGGCTTGTTGCTGTGCTGCTGCGCGATCTTCTGCATCTGCAAGTGCTGCTGGGTTCGGGGGCGTCGTGAATATGTTTAAGCCAGGTGGCCTAAGCCTAAGCCTCAGCCTAAGCCTACAGCCTAAGCCTAAGCCTAAGCCTAAGCCTAAGCCCGCTCGCTTCCCTTCGCCTAAGCTAAGCCTAAGCCTGCTTGCCAAGCCTAAGCCTAGCCTGCAGCCTCAGCCTAAGCCTAAGCCTCAGCCAAGCCTGCCCGCCGCCACGCCGCTCCAAGCCTGGGCCCAGCTCGGCCCCGAGCCAAGCCTGCTCACCCGCCAAGCTCCGCTAAACCAAGCCTCCGCCAGCTGCCGCTCAGGCCTAAGCCAAGCCTCGCCTCCAAGCCCTAAGCCTAGGCCTAGGCCTGGCTTCTGCCCCAAGCCTAAGCCTGAGCCTAAGCCCTGCTCCGCCTGGCCTAAGCCACGCCTAAGCTCCAAGCCTAAGCTCACAAGCCTAAGCCCAAGCCTAAGCCTAAGCCCAAATAGCCAGAAGGCCTGGCCTCGCCAAGCCTAGGCCAAGCCTAAGCTAAGCCTAATGCTGCCTAAGCCGCCTGGGCTAAGCCAAGCCTAGGCCAAGCCTAAGCCAAGCCTAAGCCGAAGCCTAAGCCAAGCCTAAGCCGCTTAAGCCGTAAGCCAAGCCTAAAGCCCTTGCCTTAGCCAAGTCCAAGCTGCCTAAGCCTGCTTTCGGTTAAGCCCAAATCCGCCACTTTCCAGAAGCCGATGACGGCCCGCAGACGTGGCGTGCTCAGGGCCCAGGAAGTACCCCCAATTACCCGACAAGCACCCCGAACTACCCGGTAATGCCACAGCAGCCTCCCCCCATCGTCTATCCGGCGGCCCCCATCAACGAGGATCAAGCGGATGAGGCGTCGAATGTCAGCGGAAGGGGCCAGACTTGAAGCCAGCAACTCCAGCATAAAATACCGCCACAAATCGATTCTATATTTGTGATAATGTTCACATTTGCATTGTCGGTTCAAACTTGTCTGTATCTGACGAATAAACGATTGCTGGAGAACACACAAGAGAGAGAGAGAGAGAGAAGAGAAGGAGAGAGTGAGAGAGAGAGAGACAGGAGAGAAGAGAAGGGGAGAGAGAGAGTGAGAGGAGAGAGAGTAGAGAGAGAGACAGGGAGAGAGAGAGTGAGAGTGAGAGAGAGAGAGCAAAAAAAGAGTAGAGAGAAAGACAGGGAGAGAGGAGAGAGTGAGAAGAGAAAAGAGAGAAAAAATAGAGAGAGAGAGAGTGAGAGTGAGAGAGAGAGAGTGAGAGAGAGACAGGAGAGAGAGAGAGAGAGTGAGAGAGATGCGGCTGGTGGATTTAAATACCTTTCAAATTTTAATTTTGGCAATCTGGTTGGGCTGCTCGGTGAATTTTCATTCAACGCAAACTCGCCCAAATGAGCCGTCAGCTCTTTTTTCTGCTAATTTTTGCCTACTTCGCCTCTGTCGATAGCAATGTACGGCTTGGCCTTGGCTTAAGCTTGGCTTGCTTCAACTTGATTTTTATCTTTCCTTGTTCAGGACATCACCTGTGACGTAACCTCCAAACCCTGGCACCCAGACCACGGTGGATGCGTCGAGGTGAAGCGGGAGATAGGCATCGAAGACTGGGGCATCGCCTTCCACGAGAACGTCACCAACAAGGATGGCGGGTGGACATACGTCACCTACGGTCAGTATTAGCCCGTGCTCAGCCACTCACTAATTTCAGCTTGCCGTGAATCGCCGTACCCGGATGCGGTGATCTTTTGTGGTGGGCCTCCGGCGCCGCCGTGGCGAGCCGTCCCGAAGACGCCCGGCTGCTGGTCGAGGACGTTGAGGGATGACCCTCAACATTCCGCTGTATGCGGTGAGTGAAGCTTAGACCTCCGCTTAAGCCTAAGCCAATCTTAAGCCTAGGCCAGCCTAAGGGCGATAATAAGTCCCAATCTAAGCGTAAGCTGCTCAAGCCAAGCCTGGGCCGCATTCTGCTGCCTATGCCTGCTTCCGCGCTGCTTCCAAGCCGCCTTCCGCTTCCAAGCCGCTTCCGCCTGAGGCTCCTTCCAAGCCTAAGCCGCCTAAGCCAAGCCCAAGCCAAGCTGTCGTCCGCCTAAGCCTAAGCCAAGCCCAAGCCTAAGCCTGCCCGCTTAAGCCTTTAAGCCCAGCCTAAGCCCAACCTACTAACGTAAGCTCAAGCCTCAGCCTGTCGGCTTCCAAGCCTGGGCTTCCGCAAGCCTAAGCCTAAGCCTAGCCAGCCTGCTTCCGCTCCAAGCCTAGCTTAGCCCAGCCTAGGCTCCAACCTCAGCCAGCCCAAGCCTAAGCCTTAGCCTAGCTTCAAGCTTTGCCTCCCTCCCGGGCCTAGCCAGCCTAGGCCCAGCCTCAAGGCCCAACCTAAGCCAAGCCTAAGCCTCAAGCCTAAGCCTAAGCCTTAGCTTAAGCCAAGCCTCGAAGCTGCTTCCAAGCCAAGCCTAAGCCCAGCCTAGGCCCAACGGCTAGGCTTCCAAGCCTAAGCTTCGCTTCCAAGCCTAAGCTCAACCTCCCAGGCTTCGGCCAAGCCTTGCCAAGCTTCCAAGGCCAAGCCTCGAGACTTTCCAGAAGCCGACGACGGCCCGCAGACGTGGCGTCCGTAGGATGCAGAGCGGCACCTCCAGCTTATCCAAGACAGCAGCAGCCGCCGATGATGCAGCAGCAGCCCCAGATGACGTATCCGATGCCCAACCCAAACGATGTGGGATCTGATGAAGCGAACGCTCAGCGGGCGTGGCCTAAAAATACGATACGATACGCTACGCCACGCTGCGACATACCGTACGATAGTTCGAGCTGCTCCTATTTGTGAAGATGTTCACATTGCATTGTCCCCACTTTTGCCATGGTGGAGGAAGGTCTAAAAACGAATGAATGAGATTTCTAGATTTTCTCTTCGAGATTATGCAATACTACGGACTACAGATGCTCAAAAGTCCTATGCCCTTGCGAAACACGCAATTTTGCCAGGATAGGGTATTGCTGGAGTACGCCACTTTCCAAGGATACGGTCTCTGAGCCTTCCAAAAGAAAGTGGCGTACCGTCTAAAACTTAGCTACGCGTCCGATTACAGTACCCACTTTCCAGTTTACGGTACCCGGTCCTTCGTAGTAAGGCTAGAATTACGTTCGAAAATACTGTACCATCCGGCATACGTTCATTTGGGTACCGTACCGTTTGAGAGTACGCCACGTTCCGAGTTACGGTCTCTCATTCAGCAAAAAAGTCATGTTCCGTTTAAAATCGAACTACTATCCGGATACGGGTACTCTCGTTTACAATGCTCTCAGGTCAACACGGGTTACTGTAATTTTCCGAAACATGTTGATTGCGGGAAAGATCAATTGCAGATTTTCGAGATATTCCGCGACTTTCCGGCCTACGGTGCATTCCGAAAAACATAGTTTCGGTCCCTTTAAAGCTATCGTACCAATCGGAATACGATCATTTGTGGAGTACGGTACTTCCCTCAGTACGATACTTTCCAAATTACGATATCTCACAAAATTAGCATACGAAAATTAACGCACATGTGAAAAAGCCAAAATCCTGCTCCCCATTTTTCTACGTTCTCTTACAAGGTGGGTGGCTGGTTTTTAGCAGGTTTTTCGGGCTAAAGATGCTAATTCATAAATTTTTTTCGAAAAAAACGTGTTTCACCAAATTCCTAAAATTATCCAATTCTTGGTGGCTTTACTCGTGAACGCTTTCCCATTGGTAATTAGCAATTTTTTTAATTTAAAAAAATTAAATTTTTGCTTCAGAAATAAATCCTTGGTACTTGTTCGTACTTACATCGTTGGTATTCGAAACTTGCGCAATTGGCCCCCACCGGAAGACGGATCGATAGAAGAAGAAGACGCAGAAGAAGATGGACTCAGTCAAGGGGCTGCTCGGCATCAGGACCCTCAAAAGGTATTCATTTTTGGCTTGCCGGACAATTTAAAAGGGCAGGCTAGCATGGATTCGTGAGGAAAAATCCAGGGCAGCTAGCAGAGATCATTTTTCTCTTCCCAGGGCACAAAAATCTGGTCGGCCACCACGCCGTACGTCATCGAGAAGCTGCTCGGCGAGGGCGGCTTCGGGGCGGTTTACAAGGTTTGTAGTTTGTAGCCTGGAATAAATTACGTAGTTTGTAGTCTGTAGTATGGTACTTATGCGGTGAATTTGTATTCTGTAGGCAATCAATTTGTGGTTTATGGTTTATGAAACGCAGATTTAGTTTGTAGCCGGTAGTGAGGGTTCTTCTCCGGTAGTCTATAGTTTGGTCGAAATTCTGTAGTTTGTAGCTCATAGTCTCAACTAAATTGTGCCGCTTGTGGCCTGGCCTCTATTTTAATTGTATGTGCTTTGTAGCCTGTAATCCTAGTGTTTTGTAGCTTGTAGTCTTATGGCTTGTAGTCTGTAGTCTGGAAAAAATTATGTACACGGTTTGTAGTCTGTAGTAACGTTAAAATCGTGTAGTTTATAGTCTAATCGAAATGTAGTTTGTAGTGTCGGCTGGATTCTGTAGTTTGTAGCCTACAGCTTCACTAAATTCTGTATCTTGTAGCCTGTAGGTTATTTAATCACATCTATTTTGTAGTTGGCAATCTGGATTTTTGTAGTTTGCGGTCTTGCGGCTCGTAGTTTGTAGTTTTTTCATTTTGTGCTCTAGATCCTAGTTTTTCTCCCCGTTAGGTTCACGTCGCCGGCGACCCGTCCCTCACTTACGCCATGAAAATTAGCAGCGCCGCCGGCCCGGCAAGGAGCTCAAGCTGAAGATGGAGGTTGTTGTAGTTTGTAGCCTGGGCGTAGTTTCTAGTTTAAAGATCCCATTTTTTAACATTTTTCTAGTCTGTAGTTATTGGTGAAACGGCACCAGTTGAAATTTGTAGTCTAGTATACTTCGCGTTTTTTAGCTGAAAATCCTGCTTGCCGCCGGCGATAGTGACCGTCGCTGTCTCCACTTTACAAAACTCATCGACCGGGGCAGTCGACCGGAATTCGTCTTTATGGTAGGGTATCGTTCTCTCTCTCTCTCTCTGTGTCTCCCTCGCTCCGTCTCCCTCTCTCTCGCTCTCTCTCTCTCTCTCTCTTTCTCTCTATTTTTCTCTCTCTCTCTCTCTTCCTCTCTTTAGCTCTCTCTCTGTCTCTCTCGCTACCTCTCTCTCGCTTTCTCTCTCTCTTTTTCTCTCTATCTCTCGCCTCTCTCTATCTCTCGCTCGCTCTCACTCTCTCTCTTTCTGGCCCTCTCACTACCTCGCCCGTTTCCTCAAAGAATCTTCACTAGCCGGCCTCTTTCCAGGTAATGGAACTCGTCGGTAAGTCGGTGAAGGACGTGCAGCGTGAGCGTCGCGGCAAGGTGTTCACCATCTCCACGGCCTGCCAAGTCGCCGAGCAGACGCTTGAAGCCCTCGAAGACATGCATGCACTCGGATATATCCATCGGTAACGAGCAGAGATTCTTTGAGGAATGGAGGGGCAGGCTAGCGGAGACCATTTCCTCGTTTCCAGCGACATCAAGCCGTCCAACCTGACCATCGGCGTCGGCGCCAAGCGCAACATTGTCTACCTGCTCGACTTTGGCATCTCGAGGAAGATTCGGAATGAGGATGGAGAGATTAAGGTAGTGTCACGGTCCCTTTAAAGTTACCGTACTCGTTGCAGTTGCCCCGCTGGAAGTGCACGTTTAAAGGGACGGTGAAGTACGCGTCGCTGGCGTGCCACACGCTGCGCGAGCAGAGCGGCAAGGACGACCTGGAGTGCTGGGTGTATTTGTTTGCCGAATTTGTGCATCCTGGAGGTGGGTAGGAGGCGAGCTAGCAGGGTTTCTTTGCGGAATTTGGTTTCCTCAAGCATCCCTGCTAGGTACCCTATTCTTCTTCCTCAGGTCTCCCGTGGCGCAACATGGACAACACTAAGGAGGTGTATCGCGAGAAGCGGAAGGCCCACGAACGCCCCCGCGACCTGTTCACCGGATTTTCCAGGCCTGAGGTTGGGGTTTTCCTAGCTGTCTCACTCCCTTTAGTACATGGTGGCCGTGCTGGAGTACATCGACGAGTTGAGCTACGTGCAGCAGATTGACTACGGGTACTTGCGCCAGGCCGTTGAACTGGTGGGGGCTTCAATTTCCTCAAAGAATCACCGCTAGCCTGCCCCCTTCCCCTCTCTCTCATCCCAAATGATCTCTGCTAGCCTGCCCCCTCCCCCTCTCTCTCATCCCAAATGATCTCTGCTAGCTGCCACCCCGATTTCCAGACCTGTCGCTTCAACGACGGCTCAATGTCTGCCCCTCTCGATTGGGTGGAGCGTCACTCCCCGGTCACGCCCGAGGAGTCGCGCTTGGTATGGGGATTTTTTGGCTTCACCGTCCCTTTAAACTAAATGTTTCTAGGCTTCCTGTTAAAATACAGGGTTTTTCTACCTTCAATATCCCTTTAAACGCAGAGTTTTCTTGACATTAATCGGCTTTTGATAACATTCATCTAATCTCATTCCAGTCCGTGCGCCAGGACGCGACCAGCTCGCGCTACTGCGACGGCTACCGGCCAAAGGTTGGTTTCGAGCATTTATATTTTTACCCCAATTTTTTATGCGCGCCTGTCTGGCAAAATTTGAGGTTTTTTTTACTAAACTACAAAAATGTTTGACTTTCAGAAAAAATTTCGAGTTTCAGAAAAAATGTTTCATTTAATTGTAAAGTTCAGGAAAATTTTTTACGATTAATAGATAGCATGCCGTGTTTTGCAAAATAAAACCCAAAGTTAATAATGTCAAATTGACTCTTGTTTAAAATTAATGGAATTAATATCAAATTCTTTAAATTGACTGGATGAGCAAAATTAAATTCACAAAAAAATTATGCGGCAATGCAAAAAAGTTTCATTTAATGGCAAGGTTTCGCTAAAATTTTTAGAATGAATTCCGTGCCGGTAGTGATTTCCAAAAATAATAACACACTCTAATTTTCCCTGTTATTAATTATTCGGAAAAAATTAGATTTCTAAATTTCTTTATAAATTAAATGTCATTTAATATTTTTGTGTTTTCTCACCGCTAAGTTCTTTTCAGTCCACCATCCGCTCGCTGGGGATCGGGCTCAATCCGAAGAGGAGCAGGTATCTCCCTCTCTCTCTCTCTCTCTCTCTCTCTCTCTCTCTCTCTCTCTCTCTCTCTCTCTCTCTCTCTCTCTCTCTCTCTCTCTCTCTCGCTCTCCCTCACTCTCTGCCACTCTCTGCCACTCTCTGCCTCTCTGTCTCTCTCGTGCTCTCTCTCCCTCGCCCTCTCTCCCTCTCTCTCCCGCTCCCTCTCTCTCGCTCACTCTCTCTCTCTTTCTCTCTCTTTCTCTCTCTCTCTCTCGCCCTCACTATCTCCCACTCTCTCTCTCTCTCTCTCTCTCTCTCTCTCTCTCTCTCTCGTTCTCCCTCACTCTCTGCCACTCTCTGCCACTCTCTGTCTCTCTCTGTCTCTCTCGTGCTCTCTCTCCCTCTCCCTCTCTCCCTCTCTCTCCCGCTCCCTCTCTCTCACTCACTCTCTCTCCCTCTCTCTCTCCCGCGCTCTCTCTCTCTTTCTCCCGAGAAAAACGACTCGTTTAGTCAAGACCGCTCATCGGAGGAGGAGCGCCACTCTTCTGCGGTTGCTGTGTCGGCAGCGGGCGGCGTCGTGGCGACGCGGACCACGACGCAGGGGAGCAGCCGCGTCGCGGGTCCTCCGAGCAGCAGCGGCGGATCATCGGGCCGTCAACACCAGCCGGGACAGCAGCAGCCACAGCGCCCGCCGAGGAGGAGGAGCAGCAGCAGCCGGGGAATGACTCGATCGTCCACCCTCCACGCCATTAGCCGGGTACGCTTGGCCTCAAGAATCTCTGTTAGCTTGCCTCTGAAAATTAATCGACTGCTTTTAAAGGGAGCGTGACATCCTGGTGATCATTTTTCTCCGCAACAATCTCTGCTAGCTTGCCTTTGAAAATCGATAGAAACATTTTAAAGGGGGTGTGACACCTAGAGGAGGACGCTTCTCCCCAAAAATCTCTGCTAGCTTGCCGAGGCAGACTCTTTATATGTTTTAAATGCGCAGTGACACCTACGGAAAATCAGATTTTTCCACAAAAACCGCTGCTAGCTTGTCCTCAAAATTGAATGTTGACTTCAATAAGCTAAATGTTGAATTTTCAGGACCGCCACCGCTGCACGCGCAAGCTCGTCGATTCGGATTGAAGAAATACGAAGAAATACCGCCTCATTTTCTCTCGCTGTCTCTCTTGTATCTCGTTTTCTCGCCATGTCTCTCACTCTCTCGCAGTCTCTCTTTATCACTCGCTTTTTATCTATCCGCCGTGTGATTTTTTAAATAAATATGTTAATAATTTATTTTGAAGACATGGGGAAAGTTTAAAGGCAGCAGGAATTCCGAATTTACGAAAAATAAAAGGTGTTTTGTAGGGGGTTTTTTTGGCGTGTTAGAACAAAATTAAAGGGGCTCGGAAGTCAAAAGGGCACTGCCGAGAAGCACCAGAAAATTAATTTCGTTACGAAAAAACTAAAAATATTTCAGTAAAAAGGGGCGAAAACGCCTTTTTGAGTGGGCGGCGATTGCATGTCGTAATACGTTGTAAGGCACCTAATCTCCCCTTCTCGGGGATTCTCCGGGCAATTTTCCTCATTAAAACGTCGAGAATGATCAGAATTCGATGAGGATTCCAGAAATAGCGTCAGGATTTTCAAATTCACGCGTTTTCACGTCCAAACAGGGGCAAAAGGTCATGCGGCGCGGTCGCGTTGTAGGAATCAGCGCCGGGGGCGTGGACCAGACTTCGGAGCCCCTTTCAGGATACAAATAAATTAAAGGGCTGCCGACGGCATGTGTCGATCCCCCCTCATCAACAAATTGGCAAGTAGCCAACAGGGGAGAGAGCGCGCCCAGGGGAGAGGCGCAGAGACATTTTCTTTCCAGCGCGTAACCGATTGACTATGCCGTCGGCATCCCTTTAAGAAGTGCAAAATTTTCCAGTAGTGCTACGGGGTTGCAGCATTTTGTTTGTCAAAATGAGAATTTGCGAGAGGAGAAGGTAAAAAAAATGAGTGTTTTAAAAATTTTAATAAACGACCGCTTCTCTGGAACCGTACTGAACATCTTTGGGTCAAAGGTCAATAAACTCTAAACCCGATACACTAAATTGATTAGGTAGTGAAATTTTTTGCGCTGCGTGAGATTGGTGACGCCGGGATAACCGGGGCGTGTCACGCTTACGAGGGGCTCCTATTTACGCAGAACTATTGGCCAGATACAGGGGGTCCCAATAAACAATGCGCCCCGTAAATTGTTGCCGTCCGTTCGGAGTACGGGGGCGGAAAAGTTTTTTTTGCAGGTTTGAAAGGGGCTTGGAAGCGGAATCTGGATGTTGGATTGAGTCAGTAAAGTTTTTCGGTGCTCCGAAAAATTGGGAAACATGTTTTTTTCCTGCGATTTAAAGGAATTGTAGGTCCAGTACAGGGTGAAAAAAAACACCAACTCGACGCAAAAGTATCGGATCGGAATGGTAGTTACACCATTCGAAAGCCCTTGGCACGGCGTGTTTGCAACAACTTTCACAACCATGTTTTTATTTCAGCGCGCTATTTTACAAGGCATTTCAAACATTAAGGAATGGCCCCCGTATCTAATTAACGGCTGCTTCCGGTCATTTTGTATGGAGGATTTCAGGCAAATTAGCTCGACTGCAGCTCCGAAAAGCGGTAAAATTTTACAAAATGGATTTTAATGTGGCGGGTTTAAATAAAAACGTGGTTTGAAAAATTGTTACAAAATTCTTCAAACCACGTTTTTATTTAAACTACACTAATGATTCGGTTTTTAAGAACCTTCTCTTTCGTTTAGATATAGCTAGCAAAGATTTTTTCAATTTTTCAATTTTTAGAAAAAGTAGGTTTCGATTTTTTACATTGCCAGGTGTTTGAAAAATTCATTACTCTTGACGTAGTGACTCGACAACGTTTGCTGCTTGATTGCCTTTAGTGATTCACCTAAAAATATTTCTGTTTTTAAGATACTCCTCGTTTATATACCTCAAACTAGCACAGGCAAAGGCTAGCTAGCAGAGATTTTTGTGGAATTTGATGGTTTATGGAGGCAGTTATGTTTCAATTCATGATATTGATAAACCAACTTTTCAAATTATTCAATGCCATTCTTCTTACAAATTCCTCGAATTTATCTCAATTTTGCCGTTTTTTTTATGGCAGCTGGTGTTTTTCCCGTCTAGATATTCCCACAAAGGGAAAAAAGAAAGAAAGTCCAATGTAAGCCGGTACCGTATGTAGCGAGCGGAAATCGTGTTCTTACTAAAAAAAAAATACGTTTCAATTATTTCGATTATTAGCTGTGTTTTTGAAATGCTAATTTGATGTTGGCTAGGTGTTCATGAATCGGCCCTACAGAATGATGCTGGATGCGTATCCCTTCTCCGATTTACATAAATGTTGCTGTTGTGCAAAAAAACTGGGTTTTTCCGTTTAGCTACCTAAACCGGTGGGGGGCAGCTAGCAAAGGTTGTTTGTGGAACTTTGTACATCTTTGCCAAAAGTCTGTTTCAACGATTTCCATTGTCAAAACAGGTTTTAGAAACTAATTTGCTTGTACATTTGACTGGAAATTATGCATTGTGGATTTTCGGATCTACCTAAAAATATCTCAGTTTTTAAGAATCTTACTCTCCGTTTATAGAATTAAAGCTAGCTAGCAGAGTTTTTGTGGAATTTTAATTTTTTTAGAAAAATTATGTTTCAATGATTCACATTGCCTCCGCGGTTTTCAAAACGCCAATTGTTGCAGGCTCTTTAGTCCTTTAAGCTTGATCTCATTTTTCTCGGGTTTTTGTAAATTTACAGTTTTAGGGACTTTATGTTTGCTTGGATATGTAAGCTGTTACCGAACATGCTAGCAGAGGTTTTTTAGGAAATTTCACATTTTTTTTGGAAAAGTAGGTTTCAATTTTTTAGATTGCTAGCTAGGTTTCTCAGACAATAATTCCGATCCGCATTTCAATCTGATTGGTGCAAATTTTAAATTTTCTTTCAATTCGTTTCCGGTTTAGCTAGTTAAGCGGTTCGATGATTAGCTAGCAGAGATTTTCTGGGAAATTTTACATTTGGGATTCTGGGAAGTAGGTTTCAACTATTTCATTCCCCAGCGCATTTTACGAAATATTATTGCAATTGTCATCAAATTTTTCATAGACTTTTAAATTGTTAATGTGAGTATGTGTTATTTCCATTATCAAAACAGTTTTTTCAAAAATTATTAAACAAGAAGTTTCTTCTTTTCTTTCTATTCCTCAATTTCCATAAATCCCTTGACCTTTATGCAGTGTTTTTGCGAGGATAAAAAGCCAATATATTCCGAGCACCGAGTCCCCCCGCGCAAGATAATTACCCTCCGGGCTCGACGAGCTCGTTGTGTGTGGCCACTTTTCCATTTCAAGCCATCTTATCCGGAATCTTCTAGGGGATTCTCTCTCTCTCTCTCTCTCTCTCTCTCTCTCTCTCACTCTCCACTCATTCTCCCACTCACTCTCTCCCTCTCGCCCTCGCTCTCGCTCTCTCGCTCTCTCACTCTCACTCTCTCGCGCACTCTCTGTCTCGGTCTCGCTCTCTCTCTCTTCCGCTCTCTCCCTCTCTCTCTCTCTCTCCTGGCTAGAACAAATTAGCACCAAATTACTTTTCATTCATCAATGAGGCCTATTCCATTGCCTAATATTTTCCAAAATTTCCGCAAATACTCTTTGCTAGCTTGCCCAGATGGTCGATTCATAAATTAATTAAATTTACTCATCACTTGACTCAAACAATCCAGAATTGCGGCTATGCTACATCTCTACATTCCAGAATTGCTTTTTCTCTTGCTCCTTCACATTTTTGAAACATACTATTTTAGTTCCTTTTTGTAAAAGTGGTATTTTTATTTTGGAGCTCGATAGATTAGAATAGCGGCTTCCTTATATTCCGCAAAGAATTTCTGCTGGCCTGCCCGGTGCGGTTGTAAGGCTGGTTCGTATCAACGAAGTATTCTCCAGGAAAGCTTCTCTCACATGCTTCAATTCTTTGCAACATATTCCTTTAAGCTCATAAAAACTCCCCGGGTTTCCGCAAAGAATTTTCACGGTTTCATCAAAGTGGCCTATTCCATTTCCCCAAAGAATCTCTGCTAGTTTGCCCAACATGGTCGGTTTTTAGCTTAAATTCGCTCATTACTTGGCTCGAGCAAAACGCTTCTATATATTACCGAATTGATTTTCATCTAAGTTCTTAACATTTTTGTAACATATTATTTAAAATTTCCTTTTTCAAAATTTTGCGTGTATTTTGATTTTATGCTCGAAATATTAGAATCATGACTTCCTTATATTCCGCAAAGTATTTCTACTAGGAAATTTTTTTAAATTAAACAAAACTGAATGACGTGACTGGAGGTAACAGGACTTGGAATTCCGTGAGCAATTCTCGTGAGGGGACTTCAGACATTTGAAACATATTAATTTAATCGTTTCGAAAATAATACCGGCTAGTTTTCGCCTTTGCTGTGTGCGATAAAAATGCTGATGTTCTCATATCTCCGCAAAAATCCGTGCTAACCAGCGCGGCATTAAATTTCATTAGAAACGATGCTTGGCGAACAAAAATTGCGTAGAAACTTTTCCACCGAAACCTAAATATTTTCGAAACATTTTAAATTTGAATTTTGGCTTTTTAGACTTTGGTAAATAATTACGGAATGGAAAGATTAGGATTTGGGGCCAAGGAAAGGGAAAATTGGAAGATAGAAAATCCATAAAGAATTCCGACCCATAAAATCCTTAGCTTTGCCTTGCATGGCCCTGGAATTTTCTGGATCTCAAATCGCCTTGAAAGCCATTAGTTGGAATGGTCATTTCTTATAGGCAAAGTGACGCATATGAATGAGATATTCTTTAGAAAAGCTTCTGTCACAAGCTGCAGATTTTTGCAACATGTTTCTTGTAATTCTGAAAAGCTAACGAATGGCCGAATCCTCCCCAGGTTTCCGCAAAGAATCTCTGCTAGCCTGCTCAGCCTAATCGTTTTTTTAAATATAATTCACTCCTTACTTGGCTCAAGCCAACACGCCTTTATATTACCGAATTGATTTTCATCTCGCTTCTTCACATTTTTGTAACATATTATTTTAGTTCTTTTTTTTA